AAAAAGAAGAAAAATGATAGTTGGAGAGAAAAAAACGTTAGTTAAATGCAAACCAAAACAAGAAGCAAATAAACCTATATTTTCCGGAAAAGGCCAAGAGACACTACTCATAACACTAGAATGCATTGGTAAAGTGGTTGAAAACTAGAGCAAAATGTTTGACAAATGAAATCTATGTGCTTACAAGCTAGAAAACAAGAACGAATAAGTGAAAAATCATACCCCAGGATTCCCAACAATAATAAATAGGCTGGAAAAGCCTACCTCAACAACATCGCAAAGGACAAAAATGAGACTTGACACAGCAAACTGGTACTAAATTATACAGCAGTGGCAACACAGCACTGAATGTAATGAAAATTCATCAACGACGGTATAAAATGGCACAAAGGCAACAATCACATCTACGAAATCTACACCAACAACGTCTCCAAGCTACGACGACACCAATGACATCTCCAAGCTACGACAACACCAACGACATCTCCAAGCTACAACGACATCAACGATGTCTCCAAGCTATGATAACACCAACGACGTTTCCAAGCTATGATGAGACCAACAATGTCTCTAAACAATAGCGACCCACAATAACTAAAAGCTAAAAAAAAAAAAAAAAGTGTATTAAAATAAAAAAATAGTATTAATAAAAAAAAAAAAATAATATTATTAAAAAAAAAAACTGATGATCACAGATCATCAGTTATATATAAAATTTATATGTAACATGTACGTATGTCAATTAAACTCAAGTTTAATATCAGATATAGTAGTACCAAAAGAAGGGTTCTGGGGTCTGGATTCCGATGCTAGCTTTCCTGCCTTTCTAACGTCCTCTACAAGCCTTTCTAGCTATATAAATCCTATATCAAATTCAAGCTTTAAATTACACTAGAGCCAAATCCTGTTAACTTACTCTCCTTATACCTAAATTTGGGTTTCCGACATTAAAGTGTACGTAGTCTTTGTTAATGCTCTGGCTATGTTTTTAATCCCAAACAAGATAACAAAACAATTATGCTATCTTGCTTGCCCT